GGATAGGCAAAAACAGCCACGGTGACAGAAAGAGCAAAAGAGGGTCTATGGAAGCAATAATATTATTACAAGAATAGAGATGTTGAGCATGATGAGAGAAAGGAGCGAAAGAAGGAGAGATGTAGTGAGAGGTGGATCGTAAGAACGGAAGATCAACAAAATAGCACATGGTGCTATTTTGTTGAATTCGTTTTTTTTTAGTATGCATAGGCTTATATTTATATGCATATATATGCCGCAAGCTTTTAATGGTATTGCAAATGTGCCACAGTCATATAAAAGTATAGCTTTCGCTTTGCGAACTTTTCGTGACTTCGTATTCCAGTTGAAAGAACATCATGATAATATAATAACACAATGATTTTAGGAAGATGCATATCTATAAGGGCTCTATTTGAAACTCATATTATTTGGACAGAATATAATAATCCAAAGTTGAGAACTCTAAGAGGCTGTTCACACCGGCAGAGAAAGCGCGTGCTAGACCGCGCTATCTCTGCGGTTTGGAAGGTACAACGTCGTTTCGGTCCGCCCAACAGCGAGCCACGGCGAGCCAACACTGGAGCACCTCTTGGGGGTGGTCCACGAGAGATAGCGCGGGCTAGCGCGCGCTAGAAAAAAGGGGGTGCTACGATAGACCGCGCTATCTCATTGCGGTGTGAACACCCTCTAAGAGTTACCCAATGAGGGATAAATATTTTTTTGAAAGGTGTGAAAGTTAAGAAAGTTTAAAATCTATTTCTTATCAGTAAAAATATTTTTTTTCCTTCTAACGTCAAGATAGAAAATGTGAAATATGTATAGGCTCATTGTCAAAGGCAAAGTAGTAGGGGGCTGTCTTCTCTTGCAAATTTATAAGAAATATAGTTTCTAAATTTGGCGAGCGAGCAACAATTTTGAGGCATCATTTTTTAATAGTGGAAATGTATGTTTCATTGTACCACCTCGTTCACCATATGTTAGGTGACGGTTTCTTGGATTTAATTTTAATATTTTTGGGAGAGGGCTGACCCCCTCCCCTCGCCCCCTGCACCGACCTCATAACTTAAAACCCAGATTCATTACACAGAAATGAAGAGATTTACATTTACAAATGGTTACCTATATTATTACATCCTGGATAGGGTTTCGTTGATTTTTTTTGTCTCCTGTATTTGGAACTCTCTGTCAGATCCAGTTAGAGATAAGCCCACATAATACAGTGTTAGTAGAGGTTTAAAAAGAATTTAATACAAAAATATATGTCTCCTACAGGTTAAATTTCCGGGATATGGGTATACCTTTCACATTTCATCTGTTTCACACTCTCTCTCTTCTTCTAATTTCTGTATTGTGCAGCTTTGTTTTTGTCTTGTTTTGTCCTGTCATGTCTTGTTTATCTTGTCCTGTTATGAATTGTTTGTCATGTCTTGTCTTATCTTATTATGCCAGTCTCCTGTCCTTGTGTCCCGTTTTGTAATTCTGTTCATTTTGTATATTTAACACACATTAAAATGATTTATGAAAATAATGTTCATAGTATTCTTGGGAACCTACAAAAACAAACTATTCTTTCCAGTAGGTTCCTGTTTCATTTCATAATTTTGAACTCGATTCCCCCCTCCCTCCCTGGCCCATCACTTTTTTGAAAAATTATGTTGAAGGAAAATAAAAAGAAAGGAAGAAAGGGGCTCTAAGGTGGGTCTCTAGATGCTCATCTGACCGTAATTAAATGCCATGGACCCCACCAAGGGCCCCAAGGCGGGCTCCTGGATGTTCATTGGGTTTTTACAGACGTGTATCAATCACATATGATTATTTAAGTCTGGGGTCCGACCTTTAAACGTCACCATCCGAAAGACGTGACTCAGTTTCGAACCTGCGTCCTCGGCAGAATCCGTTTTTAACTTACACTTTTAGCTGGATTACAAAAAGTCATCGTGCCCTGTTGCCCTGCATGCATTTAACCATTGCTTGACCTGGGCGTAATTTTAATTCGATATGCGCATACATGTTTTTAATATTGAATGAAGCGATAATTTAACCAAATGTGGCATTCCGGTACAGTCAAGTGAGCTCTACTGCACGATTTTTAAAAGATCTATTAATTGTTAAGTGTTTGACAGCACAAAGTAACCTGCTTTGGAATGACTGTACATCATTGGTCGGCTTATAGATAGGCCTACATGCAATTTACGATTATTTTGTATTAATATCGGGAGGCTTGTAACAAAAGCTATTATACAAATACACAATGTCACTCGAGGATCTAGTTGAAACTATTCGCATTGAAGGAACATGATGTTATTGAGCTGAATTTTACCAGTTTTTTTTTTTTTTTTTTGGGGGGGGGGGAAATGAATAGTATTTTGAACTTTTCAAGACGTCAGCAATACAAAATGAACTATTGCGATGTATTCGGCAGGAAACGTCTTTTATAGTAAAACTATTCCTTTTTCTTGTTGTGTACACTCCTAATGCAACAATCTTACGATAAGGGATATAATAGCATGTATATATTTTTTAAAAAATGATCAAAATGGAGGTTTCTGCATAAACAGGCCTAGTAATAATAATAATGATAATAATGAGATTTGTAACGCACCGAATCCACTTGAAATAAATTGCTCAAGGCGCACTGAAACAAGAACAAAACCAAAAAGAGATCATGTAAAAGAATCTGCAATACAAACAAATGAACAGAAGTTAGATACAAAAATATCATGACAATTTCAACTGAAAAAGAGAATCTAACAGCAAAGGCCCTGCACGAGCAAAGATAATTCCCCCACCTATTATTAAGCTTAATCCGGAAGTCTAAGAGCGGAAATAGGGACTTTTAGATTTACACGACGAGAACGTGGACCGCCACGTGTGATATCCTTTTAAGGTAATTTGACGTCCTTTTAAGGCACTGCCGGGCACGGCCCAGTGCCTTAACACACACGCGGCAGTCCACGCTCTCGTCGTGTAAATCTAAAAGTCCCTAATATCTTACTAATGCCCTCACTGCTGTGTATTATTTGTATATTATTACACCCTGTTTTACGACCAAAGAGGTCATTACAAGAAAAAATGAATTTATTGATTCATCTGTCTTTTAAAAAGATCCTTCTTCCATCGGTTTAAGACTAACAAATGACAAGTCACAACAGAATATACATAACGATTATAAATAACATTTTGGACCTGAGACCTTTCCAGACCTCAGAAAGTGCAATGACGTAAACAAATCACCCTGGTCTTGTACTGAAAGGACATAATATAGGAGCATAATTATATTTTGTGAGCAACCTAGGTCTTTCGCTTAGGTTTTGTTATTCTCGTTCAGCTAATTTCTGTATCGGCGACACGTTCGCTTTTATTTACTTAGCAGATCCAGAGTTATTGAAAGAAATCGGAACATGCTATGAAAAGAGGTTGGGACTTTTTCTTCCTAATTTTGCAATATTTCGCAATATTTAGTACAATTGAGACTTTTGTATTCATCTGAACGTCACTTACCAAAACGGTTTATTGACATAGAGTATCGAGGTCAGAAAACATGTTTTTGTCATATTTCGTTTTGGAGCCAAGTCATAATAGTGCACCCATCATTCCAATGCCAGGAGAAGAAAAGGAGTAACGCACAATAAGGGTTAATGCATATTGCAACAACAACGCGGTTATGATCCGCAGGTATAAACGAAAGGGTCCTTATGGAGAATTTGATTTTCATTTAAGCACAGGAAAGATAGTTGTTTTATCATTTCCTCAAGCCCGTGGGAAGTCGTAGGGGTGCAATGGAGGCGATGGCACCTCCCCCTCCTTTCGATATTTATTTTTCACTCCCAAAGCTCCTGACGTTTGCTTTTTTAAAATTAGAATTTGGGATATGTATACCTTTCACGTTTGAATATATATTTCTGGCTATGACTCACATGTAATATTTTGGTAAATGAAAACGCACCCCTTAAAAAAAAAGCTTGTTATGGTCCTCTTCTTTTGATGTACATAAATATCTTTTACCTTAAAACGGTATCGATACTGTTACACATCAACTTAGAGCTTTCTCGCCATGAGTTCAGTATAATTCTATATTTTGCATGTCATCGTGTTAAACATGTATCCGTATTTCTGTACATATATCTATATTTTTTGAAAAAATAATTCTCTTTGGAATTTCAAAATATGAAGATATCGGGAAATATTCTCTTTTGTGCTTCAATATCCCAAGTTTGAAAGGATGAATAATCTATTAATCGTTAATTCTTCTTGTCATTAGTTATGTAACCGTTATGTTTGTCTTTGGACCAAACTTCCTCTTGACTGCAATAAATAATTTTTGTAAAAGGATAATAGTTATCACTGTGATGTAATACCACATTGTTTGCTTTTTTTTCGAAGAAATAGAACAAAACTCCTGAACTCAAACATATTCAAAATGTTCCAAACGACTGCTTTGACAATTTGTTTTTGATTGGTTGTTTGACATGACTGCTAAGAAAGCATGTGTAAACTTGTAAATAAGCAGCCAGGGGCCAAAGTTTTATGTCCTTTCCAAGGGACCTGGTAATGAGGATCAATGCCCAAAGGGCACTATCACTGACTTGTTTTCAAATCCGGGACGCGTTATTTTTTTCTGCGGCACAGATTGGGGTTAGGCGCGTGTTGAGCCTATGGGAGAGTTTAGGGTTAGGGTTAGGGTTAGGGTTAAATCAAGACCTCTTAAAAAAGCCCCAATCTGTGCCGCAGAAAAAAATGACGCATCCGGGACCTCCTGGTTACGATATATCCCCGAATTAGCAGACTACGTTCGCATCGGGTATTCCTCTTCCGAAAGTTGAGGAAGTAAAGTGAACAGCAACTTTAAACTTTGGCACTCTGGTAGACAGGAAGCATTCAGAGGGGTAGTACGATATATCCCCGAATTAGCAGACTACGTTATCGCATCGGGTATTCCCCTTACGAAAGTTGAGGAAGTAAAGTGAACAACAACTTTAAACTTTGGCACTCTGGTAGACAGGAAGCATTCAGAGGGGTAGTATACAGTGATAATCGTTCAACGGTCAAGTCTCATCGCCAGCTTAGCCAACTGTCAGATAGTATCTACCTAGGGCTAGGCAGTATGTCGGGGAAGGAGAGGTGAGTTTAAATAATGCAGCTAATTAGCTCATGGTTAGCATGATAAATCTAACACTGTATATCCCATTCTGATTGCAGACTTGAATTTTGATGATATTTGCCGTATTCATGGAGGATTGTCAGTAGTGGTTTAGAATTAAGAGCGGGACTCAATTTCTCTTTCGATTTAAACTTTTTAGCAACACCTTTTGTATTTTCTGGATATTTGTTGTTTGTTTGTCGAACTCTAGAATGAGAAAAGTAGAGAGAGAGAGAGAGAGAGAGAGTGGGAGAGAGAGAGAGAGAGAGGGAGAGAGAAATGGGGGAGGGGTGTGTGTATATATCCACATTGACTTCCCTTTAGCTGTGACATCATAAAAATCTATTATTAGAATTTCTCAATTTTTTTTCTTCATTTTCCAAAAGAGCATAAAAAATAATATCCGAATGTCGAAAACCAATTGAATATGTTAAGTATTGGCTGAGATATGACCATCTGAATAAATAGATGTCCTACAGGAACTCAGTGTTATATTGCTCTGGCTCGTATTTGGTTTTCGACATTCGGACATTATTTGTTATGCTCATTCGGAAAATGAAGAAAAATTTAGAAATTCCCAAAATAGATTTTGATGACGTTACACTCCACAAAACATTTGTTTTAAATTAGATTTTTCTCTATTCAACTCATCAATTGAAAAGCTGATAAATGAACACCACCTACTGTAAATGTTGATGGTTTAAAGGTATTGGAATCAAATAAGCATTTGCTTACTGTGTTATTATTAAATTAGTCATATTCATATTTTGATGCATTTTCTAATTAAAAAGAAAAATCCTGGCAGCTTTCTCACCCAATTTTTGAACGAAACAACATCCATGACCACTGTTTCTAGCACAGAGAGAGAGAGAGAGAGAGCGCGCGCATGAGAGCAAAAATGCAAAAAAACAACAACATTAGTTTATACTTAAAGTGGAATTCGTGATTATTAAACATTACAATTCTATATGACACTTTATTTACAACAAAAACCAAAACAAAGTAAATGCTTTTTCTCTTCAGAAGTAGTGAAGATTCCCCAGCTAATCACTTTATTGATGTGGCTGTATTTGATTTATTCATGCATGTCTGCGAGAGCTATAGTCCCGGCTATAGTATTTCATATGAGTTTAATAGCAAAATATCATGATATTGTACTATTTTCTATTTAGCTTAACAACCAAAAACATGGCAGTATGATTATACTACATGCTCATGTACTTCTACATTGTGGAATAGCTTTAAGAAAAAAGAGATACTAAAAATAACACCAATAATAATAATGTCTGCAGTAATGCGACTAAAAACATATACATTTCCATACAAGTAAACAGAAATACTCCATTTAATATAAGAAACAAAACAGTGGCAAAATAAGATCACAATGTTATATTTTTTGCTTGCCTCCTTATGTACTTTGTTGACTGTATCGTATGGTTTTGAATATTCTTTTCCATAGTTTTTGTATTGATCCCAAAACAATAAAAATTTAATATCCTAGGTGCAATACGAATTCTACACACACAAAAACACATGCACCCACAAACACCCGCATAGATCATAATGATACAAAGGTTATTGTACAGGTGTTTTGAAGTATAATATTAGCATAATATATTTTCTTCATTCCCTCTTCCGACAAAGATATATTCACTTTTGAAAGGTTGCACAAGGACTGTTTGATTTGTGGTCGTAGTGGTGGTTATTTTACCTGGCCTTACCAAAGGGCACTAGCGCATCGCCTTGGTTTCAAACCCGGGTCACCGGATTACGAGACCACTGCTCTACCGACTGAGCTATCGCGCCTCCTGGGGGCTCGTGAAAAGCGGTTTGTCTTAAACATATTATTAGGGTGAACACACACACACACACAACAGCAGTCAGTTGGTAGAAATAGCAATTTTTGTAAATTTAAAAAAAAAAACTGAACAATATTTTTAAATTTTTATTTCACATATATTTCAAGCATACCTTTAATTAAAATTCTGTGTAGTTTCATTGTTATAGGCATGTGGGAAATATGTTTAATGATTTAATTAGAATATTGTCTTTTCAGCCATTGTGTGACATGGCCCGCTGATCGCCCATTGACTCGCGCTGCTATTCTGCGTGGTGAAAATGCACCTCAATGTATAAAACTCCCCTACAAAAAATGCAATACCCTCATGTGTTTCACTCATTGAATCAATTTGTGTTTTACACTCAAGGTAGCCACAATTATACTGAGGTCACCAAATTTTTTGTTACTCTGAAATTCAGTCCCTGTGGAATGTTATGGCCTGTTGAATGGCTTCTCGGAAAATCGTCATAAATCCTCAAATCTGACATTTTTTAAAAAGAAAAATATACTGTGATGTAGCTGAAAGTCTGCAGATTCTTATAATTTGATCGGTTTTTCTGAGTAATCCAAGTAATTTCTATCGCCATATTTTATTAGCATTGCAAAAATATTTGGTGTAAATATTATCTATAAATATATGATTTAAAAAATGCCAACAAAATGAACAGTTTGACTTTCCTATATATATATAATTAGCTGAAATGACCTAATTTGCATATTTGATGAATATTCATGATTTTTTTCTTCAAATAAAATATATTTACATACCTGTCTCATATATATAGGTTTCACTGATGTATCATGTTCGGTTTTGATTTGATTACATATGCGCATATTAATTAGGCGGACTTAGTTATTTTCACAACTTTTTCATATCTGCAGATTCGCAAAAATGGCAAAAATGATTTATTTTGTTGGCTTCTGTTTCAAAACGGTAATAGATATATGAATTTTCTTTTTCGTATTTTTTACCACAAATATGATACTTCAGTGTCTGATAATTTAATTTATTATTTGTGTCCGAGAAAGTGATGAATTAAGTTGTCAACTTTGTCGAATTTTGCCATTTTTGCCAATAATATTTGACCATTTCTGGCAGGTTTTTCGGCAATTTTGCGATTTCAAAAAAATGGTATAGAATCACAATGCATGGACCGATTTCAATTCTGTTTTTTATTTTTTGAAGCTTTCATAAAGCTTGATCATTTGCAATCATCAATAAACATGTGTTTGTTGTACTTATTTTTGGTGCGCTATACCTAATATTATATCTCATGAATAATGAAGAAAAAGAAGAACAAGGATAAATAATAGTAATGATCAGATAATAATGATAATGGTGATGATAGTAATGATAATGATGATGATAATAATAATAATAACAATGATGCTAACAATAAAAATTATATTAACAATAACACTAATAATAATGGTAAAATCGTTTGTCTGATTAGCTCTGGCATAGCATGGGTACTCGTGATCTCATGTTGACCACCTTTCTTTAGTACATAGGAGGAACATATAGCCTTTATTATGGAGTCAGGTGATTCTTTAATCAAACAATTTTGTTCGGGTCAGTTTTCGTATAATATTAATTTTCCATAATTCTTTTTTAATATAATTGTGACGAGGAGGAAGAGACATTAATCATGAAAACTAAAGAAAAAACTAGTAAACAATTTAGTTCATATGATGGCGAACACCAGCATTTGCTTCTTACTTTCCAGATTTATTGTGCAAAAATATTTTAAGAATCCATAATAACAACATTGAATTGATATTATAAAAAGAAGAATTAAAGGTTGCTTAAATTCTAAATTCCAGACGAAATAAATGGTGACATGGTGCAAATGAAAACAAAACAGTAACTTGAAGTTTGCGTTTTTGAGAACCAGTAAACTACGTAGTTTTTAATACGATGTTTTTGTGTTTTTATCACAAGGCATATGCAAAGGAAGGGGTGGCTAAATTTCACTTAATCATTGAAAGAAAATGCACATATCTTAAATGTTTAATATTGTCATGATTGTTGTGATATTTTCATGTGTTAACGGTTTCCTTCGACAAATAAAAATCAGGACGGTTCCTGTGATAGATTCGTTTGACATGTCTGACGTTTATTTAACAATAGAATAGAAATCAAAACTATCTTTAACGTGGGAATTTTATATTAGTCAATCAACTTTTTAACACCAGTCCAAAATCAAAAGTAATCTTGTTGAAATTGACCAGATAAATTTGCATAACCGTCTACTTTAATAGTCATCTAATATGACAACAATTGCGATTTAAAATCTTGTAATGTTGAACAAGTTAGCACTATGATTCTCTTACACTCCCTCTGTACTTTTTTTCGATTCCTCTTTTCCCTTTCACCTCGTTTTGTACAAACACGATAAAAAACAAAAACCGTGGATGTGTTTTAAGAGAAGCTTGATTTCTGGGGATAGGTGAATAATAATTTGTTAGTATTTTCATTGTCGTTATGCAAGTGTGGAAGAACATCAAAGACAATTTTTTTTTACTGAAAAGCATGGCTCTTGAAATGCCTTCATATTCTTAATATGACATGTAACAGCCTAAAAATGAGAAACACATTCCGTACCGTTTTTTTTCACAATACAATCGCATACCAGAACTCAACTTTATTTTCAATTCCACATAAATTAATTATACTATCATCCCTTTCCTTTCTTTCCCTTTCTTGTATAATCTTTCTCTTTCTTAATTCCTCTAAATACACCATAGGCGGGTACGTTGACAAAAATATCAACAGTCTATTCAGGTAAAAGCCTTCAATCGAGAAGTCGGGGATTATTTAAGCGAAAATAGAGACCGACTTTTTGAGGCAAAATTAATGATCTATGTTAATGTTTAGTATGATTTTAAGGATATAAACACTGATTGAATTTGATAAAAAAAAGTGTAAAATTCACACTATTCATATTCTAGTCAAAATGATATTTCCTATAGTGATTAATGATCTATGTTAATGTTTAGTATGATTTTAAGGATATAAACACTGATTGAATTTGATAAAAAAAAGTGTAAAATTCACACTATTCATATTCTAGTCAAAATGATATTTCCTATAGTGATAATTTCCTAAAAACTTTGCAATAAGAGTTATTACTTATTTCTCCCCCCCAAAAAAAGTACTGACGTATTACGTAGAGTGTACAAAAGAGGACAAGGAGAAAGAATGAAGTAGAGAATAATAAAGAATTGACAATGAAGAATAATAGATGGAGATTGTCATCATCGATGCAAATCACGGCTATCGAGGATGACAGTATTTATAAATTTTTACTTTTTAGTCTGAACTACTTGCGAAGGGTGCGTGGGAGAATGGGTTTACTTTCCTAAAGTACAGGAACAGGGATAACTTAATTCACTGTTCAAAAAGATATATGTAATACATTGTGAGACCGACAGGAATAGACTGACGGACAATAAGCTTTTGAAACTTCTGATATCTTGAATAAACAGTTTTGATGACAACAGGAAAGAATAAATGTGTTTGGGTATTTCCAGTGTTGTAGCCCACCAGTTCAGAGAATGATTGATCTCGTTATTTTGGGCATAATGAAGTTATGATGATCATTTTAACCAATACCTGGAATCATGGAATTTTGTTTTCTCATGAAAATGTATATTGTTCATAATAAACTAAGTTTGGTACCTTTTAAAAGAATGATAATCAAATAAAAGTTTAGAGAAAAAAAAAAACCCAGAAATTTGCAAATCAATTTCATCATTCATTTTTCACCTTTTTTCTTTAAAATTGATTGAAAGAGTATTTTACACTTTTTTATATTTTTTTTTACACATTTTATGACCACCAAATCTCTTTTTTCTTTTTTTTATTCTGAAAAAATGTGCGGGAGTGGTACCCATGACAAATAAGTTATTTTTCCTACATTCCGACTTATTTGTGACGGTTCAGTTCATGGTTTCATTCTGTACAATGAACAGTTCTACATCCCTCGCCTCATTAGCTCTCAAAATGAATACTATTTGAACAGACGAAATTTCGGGGGTTTTAAAGTCTACGATTGTGCAATATATTACCAACTACGATACCATTGGAATAAATATACTATCCATTAGAAAAACATAATTTGCGACGGAGTGAAGTTTGAAAGAGACTCGACACAGATTAATTTTTAAACGTTGACAATATAGTGTCCCAAATATTTGCCCATAGGGCTTCTCTGGGTCAATTGAAATCTGTTACAAATTACGATGTCATTGGTTTTCTTTGATGTTATTATGTATCGAGTCTATTTATGGTGACATGCATATTCATCAATATCTGTTTATCAAATATGAACTTGCATGAACTGCGACTTGCATACTCTGACCCGGTTCAGAAGATGTAATATATGATGTCCTTTGGCAAGCCATTAATCTTCTTTTGCCACTCCATACCCATGAGAGAAATCGGAACCCGGTCGGATGACAAAAGCCTTGGTGTATGTAAATGCCATATGACCTGGCGATGACCACATGATAGGAACCTAGATTCACCGAATATAAAGATCTAGAATCCCCTCATCTCAACAAACGGAATTTCAATGTATGGACGTTTTTATTGTTATCTGTAGTACCCATTTTCACATCTGGTTGCATAAGGGAATAGAAAAGCAATGAATCATCCATTGAACTCATGATGCAATGATGAAAACACTACATTTATGAAAAGTAACACCGACGGGAACCTTGTTTTGAGAAATCATTGCATTTACGCTCTCAAAACTCGGATTACTTGTTCTACCTAAGCTCAATGTTGAGGGGGAACCTTTGCTCATGGAAGGCCTTTGCTTTGGAATGCTCAGTTGAAGTGCTTAAAAATGTTTATGTTTAATTTGGCTAAAAAATATTGTTCTCTTTCAAATTTGTATATTCTATCTAATTCATGTTGCCCTTTTATGTATTACGCATATACTATTTCATTTTTATTTGCACAAGTGCACTTTGAGACTTACAAATCTTATTATTTATTATTATTGTTATTATTATTTTATTTTTATTTGCACAAGTGCACTTTGAGACTTACAAATCTCATTATTTATTATTATTGTTATTATTATTTTATTTTTATTTGCACAAGTGCACTTTGAGACTTACAAATCTCATTATTTATTATTATTGTTATTATTATTTTATTAACATTATTGTTATTTTTATCTATATGATCAGCGACCTAATATAATTTTGAAGAAACAGAAATATTCCCATAAAAAGGCAGTATTGTTTTGTTTCCAGACACCCGTGGGCATTTGCAAGATCGTATTATCAACCACCGTGGTGTACATAGTATGCTTTTTAGCATAATTGAACAAAATGCCTGAACTTAAACATATTTCAAAATCTTAAAATCTACTACTTTGTTAATGATTACTCCTGAGCTGCCTGCATTAGGGCCGTGAATGCCATTGGTAATAAAAAAATGTTACAGCCTTTTGGGGTAGGGGACGATTTTATGAAACGTCGAACGAATCCAATAAACGGAATGTCCTCTGTATCAAGACCCCTTTTATATCAAAGAAATAGATTATATTCTGTCAGCTAGTATAATAATTACAGACATTGAAGAAGTGTCGAAATGTTTTGTCTTTCAGAACCATGTCTGTGGCAACAGAAAAACCCATGTTTTTGTACAAGGCAGGGCGCATAGGCCATAAGGTAAGAGATGTCCAGGCGTTGTCAATTATAATTATTCATTACATTTTTTTTATCTTATCAATAAAAGTTAGATATATTAACACCCTGAAGAAAACTGGAGTTTATAAGAAAATTTTGATCTGAAAGAGATGGAAACTGTATGTTACTTGTTCTAACACAATACGAGATAAGTAGGGTTATTTCAAAATACTGGGGGTTGATTCTCGAAACCGTCATAAGTCCAACTTCTTGGACAACCCATAGAAAACACGCTCTTCTATGTGGTGTCCGCGAATTTAGAATTATGATGGTGTCGAGAAACTGGCGCCTGAATCTTAAGTAATCACCAATTAAGAGGATAATAATGATGTTATTGTGGATATACTATTTCGTACACTACTAATTCAAGTATCATTCATTTTGCTATGTATTTAATCTAAGCGTTTTATGATAGTCAACAATAGAACAAAGGTAATTGACTTGACTTTCTGTGAACTTTTTTAAAATGGAATTTAGGTTAATTGTAATTGTCAGCTATTTAGTTTTTAATGATTGAAGACATATACAGCAAAGACCCAACAACAATCCTTTGGTGTGTTTTTAATGACTATTGAAAGAATGACATCGATCAAACGTGTTCGTGGTGATGATGATTAAAGAATACATCAAATTGATAATATATGCACATTGCAGGACAAAGAACAAATGGTGATCTGCAAGCTAGTTTCACGTGGCGTTGGGGAGTGTACAGAGGTTCATATATTCAACGATGGATCCGAAGAACCAAAGTCAATGATCAAAGTACAGTCCTTCGCAACCGTGAAAGAGGGTAGCAAGGTCCCGAAGAAGGTCAAGGCAAAGCATGACAACTATATTTGCATCACCGGTAGTGGAAGTGGGGTTAAACATACATATATACGCACACATACAAGGTAAGCAACAACAACATTCAGTAAACAGGTGAAATTGATAAGATATATGGTTCAAAGTAGTAAACAAAGAACGTATACTATTTATGCAAACAATCTAGCATTCGCAACAGCAATTCTGACTTGAAAAAGAAAAATAGATTTATTGGATGAAGTATGATGAGTGCCTATGAGAAGTTACAGTAGTAGAAGTGATTGTCACGGTGGCAGAGTAATTAGTTTATTGATTCCCTTATTAAAAAGGCGCAACAAAAGAAGTATTTCAATTCATTAGTTTGAAGAAGAATCGACACCCTATGATTAATAGCTTTTTTTTTTTTAATCGTCATTCGCATCATGGATATGTAAGGTGTTTGAAACTGAGAACGTCATAATAGAACATTTTACCCAGCCGTTCTATTCATTTGCGCAGAGAGCAGAGGGACGAGTGGTGCAGCCAACTACAGGCCTTGATGTCCAGAACAACCACACCCGATCAACAGCCATCGCAGCCCCATCGAGAGAGAACACAGTCAGATGCTTCCTCCAAAAAACCGGCCGTGTCTCGGACTCGGAAAGGAGCCCTTATCACAGCACCTGACAGCATGCATGGGATTTTTCGTGATGAGCTAATCAAAATCGTTAATGTTAGTCCTTCTGTCATTAAATCCTGGATAATGTCGACTCCTATAGGTGAAGATGCCTTCTGTCAAAGCCTCAAAGGCAAGGACGTGCAAGTGAAGAAATCCTTAGGCCTAATGTTCTGTCGTATTACATGAAATATGAAACCTTTGATTAGCAAAAATTATATGTATTTTCCTGATCTTCCCAGTCCTTTAAAACAAGATAGCTATTCATTTGCTTGTATGTAGTTTTTTTAAATTTTATTCCACACTGTTTATTTATATATTTAATTGATATTTCTGGTCGTTGTTATCGAAATCGGCTCAGTGTGTATTTTCTCTTTTCATTATATCTCACAGAAAAGGGTCAATCCAACAGAACATACTGAGGAGGCTGACGACAGCCTACTCTGCTGTGAACGTCATCACTTGGAGGAAGGGGTGTCACACGACGGTAAATACCTCAAAAATGTGTGGTGAATGAACTCAGTGAAATCGATGTGTCGAAGTCGAGTGGTTCACTCACTTGACTGGGAATGCACAGGTTGTAGTTTCGATCCCTGACACGGTACTTTTGTCCTTAAGCTCAAGGTATCGTATCTACATTGATCCTTTCCACCGAGGTGCAGCCTGTCTTCATCATCTCGAGATAAATAGCCCGCTATTTCTGATTTGGGAAATAATCCCGAAGTTACAAATCGCGACTTCATCAGCTGGAGATTTGACCTTGAAACTCGAGCTCGAGAAATTAGCACGAGATATTTTGCTCAGCGTTCACGCATAGTGCGAGTCTTCGGGCTGGTGAAGACGCACCGGACAAATAGCGGGATATGTTGCCAAATAACGCGATATCTTGCAAACTAGCCCAAGATATCTTTGGATGATTATCTCGTCCAAATATCCCGCTAATCACAACTTCGGGCTGTTGAAGACGCAAATTAACTGGATAAGTTGCGATTGGGATAGTTCAAATAGCTAATGTTGAAGATTAAGAAATACTTTTCAGTAAAATCTGAAATAACCTCCAGCCCCACAGGGAATTAATAGTAATAATAATAATAATAATAATAATAATAATAATAATAATAATAATAATAATAATAATAGCCTAATAGTCCACTCCAAATTTTATTAAACCGAAACGGAAATTCTTTTTGCCCAATTGATCGTGAGCCCGGCAGCCACTGAGCAGCGCCAGATTGACGTTGCTCTATCCCTTATTGTTGAACGCCAAACAAGGTAGCAACAACTCCCATCTTTTAACGTCTTTTGGTATGACGCGGCCGGGGTAACACATAAATCAATTGGGAAGTTGAATTTTTTTCCAGAAGTTTAAAAACATTTAAAGCTACGTTTCTTACTTCTTACTGGTCTTAGTGAGGAAACTGCATAAGAGCAATACAGAAATTCTCCTAATTTTGCTGAGATTTTCTCCACGACTGCCACATCGCGATGGTTATAGCGGTTATAGTTAATTGAATAAAACCAAAGTCTCTATCTCTTCTTATCGGAGCTTAACTCACGTCTTCATCATTTTTCGTTGATGTCTTTTGAACAGAAGGAGATGAAACTGTAAAACCTGAACGCATTGTACAAACACCACGGACCTGTGGGGTTACACCTTACAACGTAGAGATCTCACTGGAACATTTTTCAAGTTTTTTTGCCTTCTTACGGAGTTGGTTTTTATATGGATAGAAAGGTAATGTCTGTTATGCCTTTTCTACCGAAGATGATGCCAATTTCCCGAAAATTGGTGATGGAGCTCCGAATGGTGAACAAACCACATGGAACATCTTTGGTGAATATCTGAATTCCAACTAAATGATTATATTCCACTATTCATATCTTTTTTTTTTTTTTTTTTACTTCATTTTCTGGAACACATAATCAAGAATACAATAAAACAAAGCACAATACTAAATACTACAACAAAATAGAAAACGCTTTAACTTATGCCTTCGGATCACCAAAAGAAATCAAATTTCTGTATAGGTTCTTTTAATAGCTGATGGTAGAAAGGGATCTCCCCCCTCCTCAAAAAAATCTTCAATTGCAGACATTCATATCAACAAAAATAAGTCGAAAGAGGTTTCAATGTGTGATTTATCTCTTGCAATGAATGTAAAAAGCTACTGATGATGATAATGATAGTGATAATAAATTGATAATAATAGCCATGATAGTAGGTATAGCACACCAAAAATAAGTACAACAAACACATGTTATTTGATGATTGCAAATAATCAAGCTTTATGAAAGCTTCAAAAAACAAAAAACAGAATTGAAATCGGTCAATGCGTTGTGATTTTATACCATTTTTTTGATATCGCAAAATTACCGAAAAACCTGCCAGAAATGGTCAAATTGACAACAATGGCAAAATTCGACAAAGTTGACAACTTAATTCATCCCTTTCTTGGACACAAATAATAAATTAAATTATCAGACACTAAAATATCATCTTTGTGGTAAAAAATACAAAAAAGAAAATTCATATATCTATTACCGTTTTGAAAACAGAAGCAAACAAAATAAGTCATTTTTGCCATTTTCGCGAATCTGCAGATATGAAAAAGTTGTGAAAATAACTAAGTCCGTCTAATTAATATGCGCATATGTAATCAAATCAAAACCGAACATGATACATCAATGAAACCTATGTATATCAGACAGGTATGGAAATATTTTTTTTTTTAAGAAAAAAAAATTATGAATATTCATCAAATATGCAAATTAGGTCATTTTAGCTAATTATATATATAGGAAAGTCAAACTCTTCATTTTGTTGGCATTTTTTAAAATCATATATTTATAGATCATATTTACTCCAAATATAAACATTAAATTCCAAATATTTTTGCAATGCCAATAAAATATGGCGATGGAAATTACTTGGATCACCGTTACAGCTATTTCCTCATATGTTTCACAAATTATTCAAAAAAACCGAACAAAGGATAAGAATTAGCAGACTTTCAGCTACATCACAGTATAGTTTTTTTTTTTAAATGTCAGATTTGAGGATTTATGACGATTTTTCCGAGAAACCATTTAATTCAACAGGCCATAACATTCCACAGGGACTGAATTTCAGAGGAAAAGAAAGTTTGGTGACCCCAGTATAATTGTGGCTACCTTGAGTGTAAATAACAAATTGATTCAATGAGTAAAACACATGAGGATATTGCATTTTTGTAGGGGAGTTTTATACATTGACGTGCATTTTCACCACGCAGAATAACAGTCAATGGGCGATCAGCGGGCCATGTCACGCATGGCTGAAAAGACAATATTCGAATTAATAATTTAACATATTTCCCACATGCCTTTAATAATGAAACTACACAGAATTGTAGTTAAAGGTATGCTTGAAAGATATGTGAAATAAAAATTTAAAAATATTGTTCAGTTTAAAAAAAAAAAATTTACGAAAATTGCTATTTCTACCAACTGACTGCTGTTGTGTGTGTGTGTATGTGCATTGGGTAGACTGTGTGCACAGGCAGTGTGATCACCCTAATGATAGTAATAATATAATTTCATGTTCGTGTATTGCGTATTTACCATACCAGGAGGATTCTTCTTCTTCTTCTTCTTCAAAATAATCTGCCTCCTTCACAAACAACACACACACACACATTTAATTTATTGATGTCCTGTTAATAAAAAAAAAAATATATATATATACATACATACAGTTAACAAATAAATTATTCATACCCTTACCAAGTTTTTCAATTTTTTAAGTGTGTGAAAAATTAAATTGTCCTGATTTATGTTTTCTTGAAACTAACTTCTAATAGTATTCCAAAAAGGCCCTAGTTCGAACAGTCCACATTTCACTCTTGGGTTATGAAAAACAAAAAACATCAAATTTACCAGGGTTATGACAAATTTTATTGTTAACTGTAAATATATATGTATATATAAACATAATAAGTAAATATGATGTTTTACAAATTTTCGCCCTTAGGCGGTTATTGAAGGTTGGAAATTGTCGGTCAATTGCATCTGGTTTCGCCAAGCCACTGGCCCATCTCCATGGTCTAGTGGTTAAAGATAACCACTGGTTAAAAAAAGAAAATTAATTCTCACAGAATCTATGAAACTTTCACTGAATGTTCAAGATTACAAATAAATGTCATGTGCCAAACAATTTTGGATGAAAATGTCTACTGGCTGAGTAATGAGCATAGAAAGATAAGGAAATCAAGTAGTACTAGCCCCGTCACCATTTGTGTTGTCCCATATACATCTTTTTGTGTAGTTTGCTTGTTACTTTACC